TGGCAGAAACAAGACCACACAGGGCATTTACTCCTTAATATTGTGTTTCTTATTTATAGGCAGTAGTTTATATGAGGGAAGACGCCAGCCATGCACTCCTCTATTTGCAGTGGTACACTCCAGCTATCGTTTTACCATGTGATGAGCTGTTTGTCTAGACAGCTTGTTCTTTTCAATAGCTGTTTTAAAAGCATCAGTTTATTATTAGCAGAGCATTATGTAGCCTGTTAAAATGGACATGTCCATGGAATGTTGTCTGTTTAAGCACAGTAGATAATGTTGCACAGAATTAATTTTGTACTTCAATTAGCAATGATACTCAAATGTGAGATGGGCAACTGGACTCCTAGTCTACATATGGATGGAGGGGATGTGGGTGGTGCTGTGGTTTAAACCACTGAGCCTTTTGGACCTGCCAATCAGAAGGTTGGCTGTTCGAATCCCTGTGACAGGGTGAGCTCCCGTTGCTCTGTCCCAGCTCCTGCTAACCTAGCAGTTCGAAAGCACACCAGTGCAAGTAAATAAATAGGTACCACTGTGGTAGGAACACTCTGTGCACTCTGGTTTCCGTCATGGTGTCCCATTGTGCCAGAAGCAGTTTAGTCATGCTGGCCACATGACGCAGAAAGCTGTCTGTGGACAAACGCCTGCTCCCTTGGCCTGAAAGCGAGATGAGCGCCACAACCCCATAGTCGTCTTTGACTGGACTTAACTGTCCAGGGGTCCTTTACCATTACCTTTACCTTACAGATAGATGGAACTGGAAAAAAACAGATCAAGAAGTGATGCTCAAACTAATGTGTAGTAGATACCTTTTTCCCTTAATCAAAATGAAACCTGAGAGTTGTACAACAGAAAGCAGGTGATCTTGGATCCTAGGAAGGATGATGTCATTTCAGTCACCTCTACCCGAAAATGCACAAACTCCATCCAGTTATTGTACCACATCATTTACTGGAAGATCCATCATTTAATTCTAGCTCCTGATCTGCTGTAATTTTTTTTTTTTATACAAGGAAATACAGCTCAGCACTGTAGCTTTTGTTGACTGCTGAAGCCATGATGTAACTTTTTGACGTCTCTAAAGGCAGCACCTCTTAATTATAGCATCAAAGTTGTTTTCACATTTATTAATTCGTAATTCCAGTAACCCTGTGTGATTTCCCCATAATGCAGAGTTGGAGACTGAAGCTGAAGGAAAGAAAGGGTTGTCTGAAGCCGCCTACCGAGTTATTAGCAGAGATGAAAGTCAAACCATTGGCTTCTTAATTAGCTGTGCAGTCTCTGAGCTACTCTAATATTATACATATTCTGCATTGCTCCCCTTCCTTGATTGCTGAAATATTCAAACCCATAATGAGTTCTTAATTCAGTTCCTACATCTCTCCTTTTGGACAGTTTTAGGTAGTACGACTACTAATACACAGAGGCAATTCAATCCAGGAAAATGTACCTTTGCTTTTGATGTAAGTCCATAGCAAAGTGGTTTACTTAAATTTTCCTTGCATCTTACCATTTTTGATGACCCAACAATTTGGTTTTGGATCTAACTTTAAATTGAAGCAGGGAAGATGATATTGGACTACCCAATTTGTTACGGTTTTATTTTTCATTAGCCATAGTTGTGCTGAGGATATTCCTGAGTCTCTACACACCCTCAAACCTCACAGTTCGAAAGCACAACAGTGCAAGTAGATAAATAGGTACCGCTCCGGCGGGAAGGTAAACGGCGTTTCCATGTGCTGCTCCAGAAGCGGATTAGTCATGCTGGCCACATGACCCGGAAAAACTGTCTGCAGACAAACGTCTGCTCCTTTGGCCAGTAAAGCAAGATGAGCGCCGCAACCCCAGAGTTGTTTGCGACTGGACTTAACTGTCAGGGGTCCTTTACCTTTACCTTTAAAAGAGGATAGAAATCTATAAAATAAAGCAACATAAAATAATGCACCTGTGTTCTGAAGGGACTCAGGTAAGACGACTGGTATTTTTTTATTTGTCTCACAGCTGTTGTTTGACAAGCTGCAGGATGTTCTTCCTCTGAAGACTGACTACAGATGGAACACCTTAGTTATCCAAAGGCACGCACTCATTCATTCAATTTTTATAGCACTTCACCACAAAAAAAAATGCTCAATTTGGCTTAGAACAAAGAAAAAAAGGTGCAATTCATGCAAACGCTACAAAACAATTTTGCAATAGTATACCAAAACAATAACATGGCAACAGTTTCATAGTGAAACAAAAATATAATGAGAAACAAAAAGCCACACTTCAATGCTATAAATATAGCAGGATTATTTAGTCAACATCCAGTAGCAAAATCAGCAAAGGAGCTTCGTCTTAGAAACATCCCTACCATTTTGTTGCTCACAGTCCCTCCCACAGTGGTTTCTTATAAGGCTTCTCAACGAAAGGAAATCTACCAAACTAGGTTTCACCATCCAGTTTGATTTTTTGGGGTGTCTCATTATAATATGGATTCCATTGGCATCTGATGACATTTGTATCACTTTTTGTATGTGTTGCTTATTCCAAAAGACGAGTTTCTCAATGACATTCAAAAACTGGGTCATAAATTTGATCGTACTCGCTGCCAAATTTACGGTCAAAAACTGGGTGACGGCAGTCTGTCCTTGGAATGACCTTAAAAGGAGATCTCTGATTTTGAGAGGGGGGCTATATAATCTGCTTGGGTGAAAGTTGCAAATAATTCTAAACAGCTGTCACAATGAGCAACTAGCCCCAAGGCAAGAGAGTAATAAGTGCTGTGCACATCCTCTCTCAACCATGACCTTCAGGCAGAGCAGAGACATTGAAAACAGTCCCATGGCCTATTAATCTGCCTTCTATTCTAACAGCGAGGGGCCCTACACAGCACAAACCACTGGCCCCCTTTTAAAAAGTTGCATATCTTGCATTCCCTTCTCCGTGCAATGCCGCCAATACCTACTTGGGTAAAATTCACAAGCAAAGCAGTGGAAACAAATATAAGTGTTGTAAGAGAAGCTACATATGCTGGTATGGATTAGGAAGATTAAAGGAATCCTGCTAATCCGTACCAGCAAATGTCACTCCCACTAAACATGAAAGCCAGATTGATTCCTCTTTGACACATCTGAGGCTGATACGCTAAGTTGGCAACAGCTGCAGCTCCTTCACGGCCACCCAATGCAACCTAGGCTCCTGAGGATGAAATGTATTATTTCCTGTTCTCGAGCTCTGGGATTTTCTAGTCCAAAATGGATCTCTTTGATGAAATGCAGGCTGCGAACGATCTTGCTGATCCGGGAAATCAGTCTTCACTGGAAATTTTTCGCCTCCTTGAGAACTTTGTCGCTCAGACAGAGGGATGCCTGTAAACCCCGCAATGTGTAAAACGCCATCCCTTAACCATACTTAAACTGTGTGACTAGTGAGGAGAGTGAGTGATGCCAGCCACAATTGCATCCGTCACCCAGTGAGTCAGTATCATCGTAACTACGAAGAACTGGAACAATAGCATGTGCAACATGAATATAGCAGACGTTTCCATGATAACTACATACAGTCTAAACTTATTGTGTATTTTACTTTTTACTTTCCTTGTAAGGGCCATAATCTATTTCCCAACCTATGATTTGGAAGGAAAACCTCACTCCTTTTGTTTTGTTTCTGACTGTCAGAGCTGAGGGAGAAATGTGTAATTTGTAGTTCATCTGGGGAAATTGCCCATTGCCAGACTGACTTCTGTTTTCTGCATTCTGTCAAAACTGCTCTTCCTCAAAACAAACGGACAAATCTTCTCAATGCTAAATCTAAAAGTCTCTCTCTGTCGTAATCTTTGTCCCTGCCCACTCCATGCCTGTTCAACTCCCTCCATACCCTAGTGAGCCTCTAGGGCTTGCCGATCAGAAGGTTGGCAGTTTGAATCCCCACGTCGGGGTGAGCTCCTGTTGCTCTGTCCCAGCTCCTGCCAACCTAGCAGTTAGAAAGCATGCCAGTGCAAGTAGATAAATAGGTACCACTGCGGTAGGAAGGTAAACAGCATTTCTGTGCACTCTAGCTTCCATCACCGTGCCCCGTTGTGCCAGATAGCACTTTCCCTATGCTCAAAGCAAATCTGTGTGATGGAATGAGCTCCCGTTGCTCTGTCCCGGCTCCTGCCAACCTAGCAGTTCAAAAGCACACCAGTGCAAGTAGATAAATAGGTACCACTCCGGCGGGAAGGTAAACGGCATTTCCGTCCGCTCTGGTTTCTGTCACAGTGTCCTGTTGCACCAGAAGCGGTTTAGTCATGCTGGTTACTGAGTCTTTATATCACCCTTTAAAAGGCTGACAACTAAGCAGAGCTTGGGCAAATGACTGGTGGGTACAGAAGAGCTGTAGTAACTTCGGAAGAGAGCACCAGTCCTATATCTGAAATGGTAGTCAGCTATCGATCCCATTTCTACAGGGGGATGAACAGAGGGAGAAAGAAACTGCTGGCATTTTGCATTTGTAGCTATTAGAAGAATTTCAAAACTGGTGCCAAGTAAGTATATACTCAGGAGCCCCAGCAGAAAAAGCAGGTGTTGAGTGGATCAGTCAGCATGACCTACCACTGAGAATGTTTTGAAAACCACTCCGGTGCAGGGTCTCCAAACACATCCACTAACCCACCTCTGCCACTGAGAATGGAATGGCACACTCCCAAGGCAAAGAGGAATAAAACAGCATTGTTTCTTCTCAGTGCTCTATACAGAAGCCATGTTTAAAAATAAAATCACAGAAAAGAAAACGCTGTTAAAGAAATCATAGCCCGGTTATGCTTTAGGTGACCTTAAATCCCCCTGACTCTGAAAAGGAGTGACGTGAGTAAGACATTCAAACCCCAGAGGCGATTTTTCTTCCCCTCCTCATCTTAGTCTTTTGCATCCAGACTATTCACAAATCTTTCCTTTCTTAATACTCTCTTTTAATTTCTGAAAGAAAGTTCACAAAGGCTGAATTGATTTTTTTTTTTTTTAAGGCCAATTCCAGCAGGGAAAAAAGATGGAGACTGGATAGTTCTCAGTTATGGAACAGACCAACAAAGAGAATATTGTCCTTGTTTGAGTAAGTTTACCCAGAATACTTTGCTTTCACTGTGCATGTATATTATGTTTAACAGCACAATGGAAAATCAGTTGCAGAAGCATTGCTGGATTTATATTCTTGGAATATAATAGTCCCTTGGGATTTGTTGTCATTGGCCTCTACGCATATCCCACAAAAGCAACAACTGAAGATGACTTGATTATGTCTTATTAGCTACATATAAAAGTCAATGAAGCAGCTTAGAAATACAAATAAGAGGCACTTATATTTTATTTACTGCAAAAAGTTATCTGCAGCTCATTTACCAACTCCATGTCTCTTTCACAGACAAATCTATCCCCAGCACTGCTACTGAGAAAAATCTGTGGGAAAGATATAAGAACAAATGTCTCATTTTCTTTTAAGAGGTAGCCCTGTTTCAATTATCATATTCAGAGCACTTGCATAAGGTGCTTTGAAGTAGGCCGATGGTGTAAAACAAATAAGCCACCTCACTGAAATAATAAAACATTACTTTCAAGTCAGTGACTCCAAACTAGCTACAAACTAACTGACTAAATTCCACAAAAATCAATAGGATGTGCTCTTTCTTTCTGAAAAATATAGTTGGCATCTGTATCGGATTTGAAATGATATCATGGTGATTTATAAATGAAAAATATCAACTTACAATTAGCACTTCTGTGAGTCACCTGTTCCATTCGTTACAATGGCACACAGTTCATGTCTACTCAGAGGTAAGTCCCTTTGATACCTGGGGGTTAAGCCTATTGATCTCCATGGGACTTCTGAGTAGACACGCAAGTATTGCAGTGCATATCACAAATTGCTACATCAGCAAGCACAAAACAAGCCCTCTGAAGTGCCACAAATCCAACAAATGGAAAATGTTGATGACTTCTCCTACCTGGGCAGCTATCTTTCCACAAGGGACGACATTGATGCCAAAATCCAGCATCGCCTGAGCTCTGTGAGTGCAGCTTTCTCCAGAATGAAGTGCAGAGCGTTTGAGGACCGGGACACTTGCAGGGAAACCAGAATGCTTGTTTACAAAGCTATTGTACTACCAACCTTACTGTATGCTTCTGAAAAATGGACCACTTATAAACGCCATCTCCAACTCCTCAAAAGATTCCATCAACGGTGTCTCCCAAAAAAATTTACACATCACTTGGGAAGACAGGAGAACTAATGCCAATTCACCTGTCTTCCCAGTTGATGTGTAATTATTATTATTATGTTTTGCATATTGCAAGGCTCCTGGCTGCAGATTCTTGGGAAATGTTCTATGAGTGAACAAGGAATACCTAAGAGAGGATTCTCAGAACCTTTGCGAAAATGTGGATGGTTCTCAGAAACCATCGGGGAAAGTGAGAGAGAAAAGGATCTCCCTGAAGCTAAACGGTGTTCTGGAAGCCTGAGGGCCAGGGAGCAGACTTCTTCTGGGACAAGGCCTCTCTTCTTAGAGAGTGAGGCCTGGTATTTTGGGATCAGTGGCCAACAAACAAAGCCAATGTTCTCAAACAGGGCCACTCTTGGTGCCAGGTGGACCTCTTTGGGGAGAGAGCATTCCGCAGCTGAGGCCACCACTAAAAGGGCCTGTTCTTTCTGTTGCTGCTTGTATCCATGGATGATTTCTTGGATGGTTTAGCTAATATATATCTAAAGATTTGTTGTGTTTCAGTGATTTTAATCATGAACTGCCTTGAGAAGGTATTTGGCCATGGAAGGCAATACAGTGGTACCTCGGGTTAAGAACTTAATTCGTTCCAGAGGTCTGTTCTTAAGCTGAAACTGTTCTTAACCTGAGGTACCACTTTAGCTAATGGGGCCTCCTGCTGCTGCTGCGCCACCACTGCACCATTTCTGTTCTCATCCTGAAGCAAAGTTCTTAACCTGAGGTACTATTTCTGGGTTAGCGGAGTCTGTAAGCTGAAGCGTCTGTAACCTGAAGCGTCTGTAACCCGAGGTACCACTGTACATAAATGCCTAAATAAATAAAGCATTTCTTTTCATTATAACTGCATGTTATGATTCCCAATTGGGTGAAATCAGCCACATTTCACCCAATTGGGTACTGTAGGAAGAAGGAAAAATAAGCAATTCTATAGAACAATTAGGAAACAATGGCACTAAGGTGAACTGAAAAATAGGTGAATAGTGATACTATCTACATGTTTCACACTCAAAATCAACAGTGGTAGAAATGTGACAGTACCTTGACTTTTTATCCTTTCAAAGTCTCAACGAGGATTAAAGCCAAAGAATAAATCTACCTCAGCCTTGGTGCTCATAATGTCAAGGTTGCAGATTCGATCCCTGTATGGGACAGCTGCATATTTGGGTTGGACTAGATCAGGCTTCCTCAAACTTGGCTCTCCAGATGTTTTGAGACTACAATTCCCATCATCCCTGACCACCGGTCCTGTTAGCCAGGGATCATGGGAGTTGTAGGCCAAAAACATCTGGAGGGCCGAGTTTGAGGAAGCCTGGACTAGATGATCCTCAGGGTCCCTTCCAACTCCATGAATCTGTGAACTGTTTGGTGAACATCTGCTTAATCCAGGGGTAGGCAACCTAAAAAGGGATGTGGGTGGTGCTGTGGGTTAAACCACAGAGCCTAGGGCTTGCCGATCAGAAGGTCGGCGGTTCGAATCCCCGCGACGGGGTGAGCTCCCGTTGCTCGGTTCCTGCTCCTGCCAACCTAGCAGTTCGAAAGCATGTCAAAGTGCAAGTAGAAAAATAGGTACCGCTCTGGCGGGAAGGTGAACGGCATTTCCGTGCGCTGCTCTGGTTCACCAGAAGTGGCTTAGTCATGCTGGCCGCATGACCCGGAAGCTGTACACCGGCTCCCTCGGCCAGTAAAGCGAGATGAACGCCACAACCCCAGAGTCGTCCGCGACTGGACCTGACAGTCAGGGGTCCCTTTAACTTTACCTTTAGGCAACTTAAGGCCCATGGGCTGGATGCGGCCCAATCATCTTCTCAATCAGATGAACAAGGAAGGTATTTGGCAATTGAAGTGCAAATTCAAGGTGAAAAATTTTTGATACTAGGGATTTACGCACCTAATGAAGGGAAGTCAGAATTTTTTAAGAAGTTGCATGAGACATTGTTGGACTATTTGGATTACAAATTAATCATGATGGGAGACATGAATGGAGTGGTATCTACAAATATGGACAAAGCACAAAGACAGGTAATCACCAGAGATGGGAGACTACCAAAGACTTTCTTTGAAATAACTGAAAATATGGATTTGATTGATATTTGGAGAACAAGGAATCCTCTCGAGAGAGAGGGAACCTTTTCTCTGAAGCAATGATGACCTGGACCAGAATCGATCAAATTTGGATTACTAGTGGGTTGGCTCCAAAGATTAAAAAAGTGGAAATCTGCCCAAAGACCTGCTCCGACCATAACGCCGTGAAGATGGAAATGAAACTTACAACAACTGGTCAATTCAGATGGAGGATGAATGACACCCTGTTTCGAGATGAGGAGATCCACAGAAAGGCCCAAAAAATTTTAAAGGACTATTTTGAAATAAATCTAAAAACTGATGTAGAAAAAAGAGTGATCTGGGACGCAAGTAAAGCAGGGATGCGAGGATTTCTAATTCAACAAAATTCTGTAAAAAAGAGAAAGCAAAATGAGAAGAAGGACAAGATCTTGGAAAAGATAAAAGAAGGAGAGAAGAAATTGAGATCAAAACCAAAGTCCCAGGAGATTTTGAGAGAGATTAAGTTATATCAGACACAATACATGGAATTGATGAATCAAGAGATTGAATGGAAGATAAAACAAATGAGACAAAAGACATTTGAATCTGCAGATAAATGTGGTAAACTTCTGGCTTGGCAATTGAAGAAAAGGCAGAAACTAAACACAGTTACAAGCCTAGAAGTGGATGGAAAGAATATATCTAAACCTAACGAGATAAGAAATTGTTTTTGAGTTATTTTAAAAATTATATTCACAAGGACCACAGAAGGAGGAGGATATAGAAGAATTTCTTAAAAAGTATGGACTACAAAAATCTCTCACCAAAGTAAGGTGGATCTAAATCAGAGAATAACAGATCAAGAGATAGAGGGTGCCATTCAAAACATGCAACTGGGCAAATCTCCAGGACCAGATGGATTGACTTCCAGATATTATAAGGCTTTGAAGGAATGGTTGGTACAACCATTAAAGGAAGTCTGTAATGAGATCTTAGAGGGGAAAAGGGCACCAGAATCGTGGAAAGAAGCGTACATTACACTCATACCAAAGACAGAGATTGAAAAGAATCAACTTAAGAACTACCGCCCAATATCATTACTTAATGTGGATTACAAAATTTTTGCAGACATTTTGGCAAAAGATTGAAAAGAGTGTTGATGGAGAAGATTCATATGGACCAAGCAGGCTTTCTCCTAAAAGGCATTTATCAGACAATGTGAGGAACATAATAGACATTTTGGAATTATTAGAGGTGAATATAAACACTAAAGCAGTTCTGATCTTTGTAGATGCGGAGAAAGCCTTTGACAATATTTCTTGGAGTTTTATGAAAAAGAATCTTCATGGGATGGGGGTAGGCCAAGGATTCGAGAATGGTATGGGTGCCATATACACTGAACAAAAAGCTAAATTGATTGTAAATAATGTGATAACTGAAGAATTTAAAATAGAAAAAGGGACACGACAGGGGTGCCCTATCTCCCCATTACTTTTTATTTCTGTTCTGGAGGTGTTGCTAAATATGATTAGAGATGACCAGCAGGTTAAAGGTGTACAGGTCGGAGCTAAACATTACAAGTTAAGGGCCTTTGCAGATGATTTAGTACTTACTTTACAAGAGCCAGACACTAGTACAAAAAGGGTGTTGGAGCTAATCCAAGAATTTGGCCAGGTAGCTGGATTTAAATTGAATAAACAAAAGACTAAAGTCTTGGAAAAAAATTAACAGTCATGGAAAGGGAGAAGTTTCAGAATGAAACAGGTTTGACAGTGGTAAAGAAGGTGAAATATCTAGGGGTTTATTTGACATCTAAAAATTTGAACCTGTATAAAGACAATTATGAAAAATGTTGGTTGGAAATTAAAAAAGATCTAGAAATATGGTCAAATTTGAAATTGTCAATGTTAGGCCGTATTGCAGTTATTAAGATGAATGTATTGCCCAGAATGTTATTCTTGTTCCAAACATTACAAATTCTAGACAAGATAGACTGTTTTAAGAGGTGGCAGAAGGATATTTCGAAATTTGTCTGGCAGGGCAAAAACCCAGAATAAAATTTAAAATACTGACGGATGCAAAAGAAAGAGGGGGTTTGCCCTGCCGGACTTAAAACTGTATTATGAAGCAGCAACTTTTTGCTGGCTGAAAGAATGGATGCTCCTCGAGAATACAGACATCTTGGACTTAGAAGGTTTTAACAATACATTTGGTTGGCATGCATATTTATGGTATGATAAAATCAAGGTGCATAGGGCCTTTAAAAATCATATTGTCAGGAAAGCATTATATAACGTTTGGATAAGATATAAAGATTTGGTGGAAAGTAAGACTCCTAGATGGTTGTCACCTTTGGAAGCCACGGCGTTGAAAAAGCTTAATATGGAAGCCGAATGGCTAAAGTATCGGGAAATTTTGGAACAAGATGGAGATAAGTTGAAGCTACAGAGCTATGAGAAATTGAAACCCAAAGTACGAGATTGGCTCCATTATTATCAAATAATGGAGGTGTATAAACAAGACAGGAAAATTGGCTTCCAGGTGGAGAAATCAAAATTAGAAACTGAACTGTTAGAACCCAATACTAAGAACTTGTCAAGAATGTATAATTTGCTGCTGAAATGGAATACACAAGATGAAACAGTTAAATCAGCTATGATTAAGTGGGCACAGGACATTGGTCATAACATTATGTTTGCTGACTGGGAATGGTTGTGGAACACCGGTATAAAATTTACGGCATGTAATGCCATAAAGGAAAATATTATGAAAATGATCTATAGGTGGTACATGACTCCAGTCAAGCTAGCAAAAATTTATCATTTGCCTGATAATAAGTGTTGGAAGTGTAAAGAAACTGAAGGTACTTTTTATCACCTTTGGTGGACGTGCCCAAAGATTAAGGCTTTCTGGGAAATGATATATAATGAATTAAAAAGGTACTTAAATGTACTTTCCTGAAGAAACCAGAGGCCTTTCTCTTGGGCATTGCCGGCCAATTGGTATCAAAGAAAGACAGAACTTTTTATGTATGCTACGACAGCAGCAAGAATACTCATCGCAAAGTATTGGAAGACAGAAGAACTACCCACCTTGGAAGAGTGGCAGATGAAGGTTATAGACTATATGACATTGGCGGAGATGACTGGCAGAATCCGTGAGCAGGGGAAAGAGACGGTGGAAGAAGATTGGAAGAAATTTAAAATCTATTTAAAGAACTATCATAAAATTGAGGAATGTTAAAATGTCGAGGTTTGGAGAAAGAAAAGGAGATTACAGCGACATAAGATTAAGTTGAAGAAAAAAAAATAAGAAAAATATATTTGATAAAATTATTTAGAATTTGCTGAAATAATTTTGGGAATTGGGATGTAGGAAGGGGAGGTTTGGGGGAGTCCGAGAAGAGAGGGTTATGAAAAAAAAGGCTATGAAACTATACATGTTTGTATGTCTTTTTATTTGTTTGTATTGTATAAAACTTGTTTGTAAAATCAATAAAAAAAATTATATAAAAAAAAATCATCTTCTCAATCAGGCCCGTGGATGGTCTGGGAATCAGCGTGTTTTTACATGAGTAGAATGTGTCCTTTTATTTAAAATACATCTCTGGGTTATTTGTGGGGCATAGGAATTCGTTCACCCCCCCCAAAATATAGTCTGGCCCACCACATGGTCTGAGGGATGGTGGACCAGCCCACGGCTGAAAAAGGTTGCTGACCCCTGGCTTAATCCATTTTAATCAGATACTTGAATTCTGGTTTGGGTGCATCTCAAATGTAGGTCGTGGATCCTCACAGATGTCAGATGCTCTCTGAAATCCAGCTAATACCGCGAATGTCAAAAAGACTTTTGTCATAAATTAATTGAATATCTCTCAATCTCATGTGACTCAAATAGCTGAAAGCACTCCCAGCTTGTTGAAGGGTGTCCGTGCCTGCAGTGTTCACAAAAGAAGTATTAATGCAACTCTTGCTTTTGGTTATTTTCTCAGATTGTGTAAGACTTGAGTCATTGTTGATGCTGCCTCTAAACTTCAGCTGTGGTCATTTCACATTACCAGGGTTGCAGGCAGAAAGACGAGGGCATTGACAAAATCCTGAGAATTCCAGCTCTTGGTTTGTTTTTTTAAATTCCAGCCAAGATGTTTTACATGGACAGCAACTGGTGAGCATCTAGGATTGCCAACTTTTCTGAACTGAGCGGGACTTACCATATTTTAATGCCCATTTCATCCCCAGGAAGGCTTGCTAATATCAAAGAGTTCAGGAGTCTGGAGGAGTGGGTGGCTGTTTCATTTTCAAAACAAGATTGAGGAACATGTAATCTCTAAGAATGTCCATGGCATAAGATTGCAACATTTACTACAGCTTCAGTCATGTGTGTAGGACCAAACCAAATTACAATTCCCAGGGGGCAATGAGATAATGTCCATGTGGCAGCTCCATCAGCACTGAAGCACCAACTTTATGTACCAGGGAGAAACAGATGAGCTTTTTCTGAAGTGTCTCTGAGAAAGCTCAGAAATACCTAGCCAATTCTGAATCAAACTGAAGGAATATCATCCATAACTGGTTCCAATAATCACAGGGTCAATTCCAACTCTACAGTTCAATGAAGGAATCTCAGCTAAAGCATCCATGACAGATGACCATCCAACCTCTGCTTAGAAACCTAAGAAAAGGAGAGTCCACCACCTCCTGAGGGAGTCTGCTTCACTGTCAAACAGCTCTTACTGTCAGGAATTGTTTTCTTATGTTTAGTCAGAATCTTCTTTCTTGTAACTTTAAGCTCCTAGCCTCTGGAACAGGAGAAAAGAAGCTTGCTCCATCTTCCATGTGACAGCCCTTTAGATGTCCCAGCAGATGTCAAAGAGAACAACAACTACCAGACTTTTAGAAGACATCTGAAGACAGCCCTGTTTAGGGAAGCTTTTAATGTTTGATGGATTACTGTATTTTAATATTTTGTTGGAAGCCGCCCAGAGTGGCTGGGGAAGCCCAGCCAGATGGGCAGGGTATAAATAAATTATTATTATTATTATTATTATTATTATTATTATTATTATTATTATTAATGACTGTATCTCCTCTAAGTCTCCTCTTTTCCAAGCTAAACATTCCCAACTCCCTCAACCTTTCCTCATAAGGCTTGGTTCCTTGATGATCTTGGTTGCCAGTGTGGTGTAGTGGTTAAGAGAGGTAGACTTGTAATCTGGTGAACCAGGTTTGCGTCTCTGCTCCTCCACATGCAGCTGCTGGGTGACCTTGGGCCAGTCACACTTCTTTGAAGTCTCTCAGCCCCACTCACCTCACAGAGTGTTTGTTGTGGGGGAGGAAGGGAAAGGAGAATGTTAGCCACTTTGAGACTCCTTTTGTTGTTGTTGTTTAGTCGTTTAGTCATGTCCGACTCTTTGTGACCCCATGGACCAGAGCACGCCAGGCACTCCTGTCTTCCACTGCCTCCTGCATGAGGAGGATGCACTATCCTCCTCATCACTATCCTTAGGGTAGTGATAAAGTGGGATATCAAATCCAAACTCTTCTTCCTCTGCACATGTTCCAGCTTGTCAACACCCTTCTTAAATTGTAGCACCCAGCGTCTTCCCCTTGCCTGCTTTGACATTGGTCATTTTTTACTGCTATTCTCATCCCTAACACAAAGTGCATTTAAACCCTATCGTGGACCGCAAGACTTCTTTTTAGGGCGACGCTGTGTTTTCATTTCGCCCCCGTCTGATCCTGTGTGTTGAATTTTCACAACAATGCTCGAAGAATTCAACCAATGTTATGGCCAAAGTTCTCAATTCACACAGCTGCAAGAATCCATGTAATTCCAGAATTTGGCACATTAGAATAGACTCTGCAGATGTAGAACTATGACAGCTGCATCTAATCAGGACTTCAAAGTTAGTGCAATTTGGCTTTGCAATTCCCTTTTCTTTCTGTGCATATTCCCTTTTTTCTGGTGGAGAAGTGCCGCAGAGCATCACAGACTTTGCTTTTACACTGGAAGATGACATAAAACCTTTATAGTCTGATCCAATGTACGAATGTAATACTAAATAATTTGGGGGGTGTTTACGCAGTCAGCAGGGACACGGGTGGTGCTGTGGGTTAAAACACAGAGCCTAGGACTTGCCGATCAGAAGGTCGGCGGTTCAAATCCCTGCGACGGGGTGAGCTCCCGTTGCTCAGTCCCTGCTCCTGCCAACCTAGCAGTTCGAAAGCACATCAAACTGCAAGTAGATAAATAGGTACCGCTCTGGCAGGAAGGTAAACGGCATTTCCGTGCGCTGCTCTGGTTCGCCAGAAGCGGCTTAGTCATGCTGGCCACATGACCCGGAAGCTGTACGCCGGCTCCCTCGGCCAGTAAAGCAAGATGAGCGCCACAACCCCAGAGTCGGCCACGACTGGACCTAATGGTCAGGGGTCCCTTTACCTTTACCTTATGCAGTCAGCAGAATTGAGTGCTAAAGCTTTTATGGAATACACTATCTCATCTCCAGCTATGTGTGTGACGCAGTGTTGCGCTCTTTTTTATATATCCCCATAAAAACTCTCCCTGCACAGAAAAAAATGCAATGTCAAGGAGAACAGTTAAGCCTGGTTTTCTCCTTGATATACTACTTTTTGTTTGTTTCCTCTTCATGGGGGAGCATTCAAGCCTGTGACAACCCCACCCCAAACTGAGGGCCGTTTGCTTTCCCTGTAAATGTTTGCCTTGATTTTCATTCTTCTCTGAACTGTTCGAATTTATTGATTTTATGCAATAGGAATGGATTTTTCTTGTTTATGCTCCTTTGCATGCGTTTTTCACAGCGCTTGGTTGATGCATGAATTTCTAAAAAGCATAAAGCATTTTTTAAAAGCACCCTCTGCAATCGACAAAGGAGAACTTTAGATCAATTGCAACCATTAAATACAAGCCCATTTATATCAGTTCCAGTATATCGTCAGCTGGAATGGCAAAGGAGCCCAGCCTTTGAATCGCAACTCAAGCAGGCTTAAGGCCGAGAGAACTGAGTAGTTAATTCTGATGGTAACAGGCTACTAATTGGAGCACATGTTAAAGGCAGTTCCCAGGACGGTGGCTGTGCCAGATCTGTAGAATAGGGACAAGAAAACAAAAAGCATATTTGGAGCATATGTCCATCTTGACAAATAATGATAGTATGATTATCATGCCTCCAGCAGCCTTCTGCTAATCTAACTTCTCAATCTGAGCTTGTTTTCCAGGTCATCAATTCAATTTATCAACACTTTGTAGTCTTCATTAACCTCCGCATTGTGTCCGTCTGCTGTTATTCTCGTGCACTGCCTGTTTCCTTAGGCCTCCAATAACCTTGAAACAAAGCTATAGAAGCCCTCAAGTTTGTGGTCGTGTGCTGATGGGGCAGACTGCATTAATTAATTATTATTATTATTATTATTATTATTATTATTATTATACTGCTGTTTACCCGGAGGTCTCAGGGCAGATCACAGAAAAGATATAACATATATAATCATATATATCACAACATATATAATCAGAATAAAAACAACAACCCAGTAACACCTCCCCCCCAAAAAAGAGCCACATTTTAAAAGGGACCCCTGACCATTAGGTCCAGTCGCGGACGACTCAGGTTGCAGCGCTCATCTCGCTTTATTGGCCGAGGGAGCCGGCGTACAGCTTCCGGGTCATGTGGCCAGCATGACTAAGCCGCTTCTGGCGAACCAGAGCAGCGCACGGAAAGGCCATTTACCTTCCCGCCGGAGCAGTACCTATTTATCTACTTGCACTTTGACGTGCTTTCGAACTGCTAGGTTGGCAGGAGCAGGGACCGAGCAACGGGAGCTCACCCCGTCGCGGGGATTTGAACCACCGACCTTCTGATCGGCAAGCCCTGGGCCTCTGACTGGACTTATCCATCCAGGGGTCCTTTACCTTTTTATTGATCTTTTAAATATAGGAATGTAATGATTGCAACCTATATAACATAGGAGAGCATATTTCTGTTATGTAAGGCGGCATACAAATATAATGATGATGATGATGATGAAATATCCATTTTTTCATTGTTTGTAATGCCTCCTGTGCCTATTTTCCACTTGCCTCTCAGACACCATCATGCATAAATTATGTGCTTGACCTAACAGGGGTTTTTTTGCCATTGTATCAATTCTACTTCTGCGCGTCCACATGTCATCTGTAAACCGCAGGCCTAGTTTAACAAGCCGTTGTTTCTGGATTGTTGGAATGTTCATAAACATTCCACAACACCTCAATAGCTGAGCAAATTGCAAGGAAGGTGAAACACAGCTTGCAATCTTCTTTTCCCAACATCTTGTTGTGGATTTAAAAAAAAAAAAAAAGGAAAAAAAGATCTGGAATATTTTAAATCCAGAAGAACTTTTTTTAAAAAAAATCTATGTATTCTCCTCTCATGGAGATGCGTTTATAGCAAAATTTATGCACAAGGCCTGGAATATTTCTGTCAGATGTATAGCAGGTTCCCACAGCACAATACCTTGACGCTTGCCAGATTTCATGCGGAAATCTAGCCAGGAAGTCAGTGCATCGGGGAGCTATAACTCTTGGTAGGCTTCCTCTTCAGCTGCTTCTGAGGTAGTTCCTACAGTCACACTTCCAGGAGGAGAGCCAGAAAGCAATTCTGTAGATTAAGAACTGCAGGTAGGAAACTTGTGACCACCCTCCCTCCTTTTCGAGGCTGGTATTCAAGGCACTGAGCCTCTTGGGCTTGCCGATTGGAAAGTTGGTGGTTCGAATCCCCATAATGGAGTGAGCTCCCGTTGCTCTGTCCCAGCTCCCGCCAACCTAACAGTTTGAAAGCACACCAACGCAAGTAGATAAATAGGTACCGCTGTGGCAGGAAGGTAGATGACATTTCTGTGCGCTCCGGTTTCTGTCACGGTGTCCCGTTACTCCTGAGGCGGTTTCTTCATGCTGGCCACATGACCTGGAAAGCTGTCTGTGGACAAATGCCAGCTCCCTCGGCCTGAAAATGAGGTGAGTGCCGGAACCCCATAGTAGCCTTTGACTGGACACAGGGGCGGAGGAAGGGGGTTGCAGTAGGAGCAGGTCGCCCTGGGTGTCACCACTGAGGGGCGTGACAAAATGCCAGGCGGCACTCACCGCGGGGCCTGCAGCGTGCCTGAGCCACGTGTCTCTCCTTGGAGTGACGTGGTGACTTGGGTGCCCGCAGGCTCCACACTGCCCCAAACGGTCCGCCCGCCGCATCCCTCTCAGCTGTAGGGCGATTGAGTGGGAGGAGGCAGGCAGACTCCTTGGAGGCCCTGCGGAGTGCCTGCCTTGGCTGGCCCTGCCCCATGGGTGACTGACCCCGCCCCTGGGCACAGGGCACGCGTGCCACCCCAGGCGCCTGATTGGCTTGCTCCGCTGCTGACGGGATGTAACCGTCCAGGGGTCATTTACCTTTTTTTAACTTATTATTATTATTATTATTATTATTACAGTGGTACCTCTGGTTACGTACTTAATTCGTTCTGGAGGTCTGTTCTTAACCTGAAACTGTTCTTAACCTGAAGCACCACTTTAGCTAATGGGGCCTCTCGCTGCTGCCGC